CCAGGACAGGACATTTGACTTAGAATGCCACGGGACTTATACAATTCATGTAAAGGATGAGAACTAAACTCTCCACCGGGATCAAAACGTATAATCTTAACTGTACGACCAAACTATGTCTGAATCATGTTAAGAAACTCAACCACGACAGAACGAAGTTCGGATTTCAGACGAAGAAAGTAAATCCAGGAGAAACGAGTGGCATGGTCAATAAAAAGGGAAAAATAACGATAACCACGACGGGGAACATCGGGAGAAGGTCCCCAAAGATTTTTGTGAATTAAATGAAAAGGTTCCTGTATGACAGTGGTACTAGATGGAAAGGAAACACTGGTAGTTTAAGATTCAACGCAACTAGTACAAAAATGTTTAACAGGAGCACTAACATTCTGTTTGCCGAGAAGAGACAGATTGAACATTAAAGACAGACGACTGGAGTGGGGATGCCCCGAAGAGCATGCCAAAGGTCCCACGAATTATTGGAAAGACTCGAATAAACTGGATTACTAACACACCTAGACACAGACTGACTGACGGATGAGGAGATGGGATGGTCATGCAGCTCCTCAAGGTGAAATGTCCTCCCCTGTTTACTTCCCCTTCCTATCTGCCTCCCCATCTGCAAATCCTGCACCACACATCCAGTTGAAGCAAAAACAATAGAATAGCCTTGTTTAGTCAACTGCCCAACAGAAACCAAGTTCGGCACTAATCGAGGAACATACAAAGTATTCGGCAAGGATATGTTAAGTTGATCCACCCTACCAACTGCTCGACCTTTAGTTGATTCCCATTAGTTACCATTAATCCAAAATTGTGTACAGGTCGAGTTTCCTTAATGACACTAACATCCTGGGTCATATGATTAAAACAGGCTAAGTCGATTAACCAGGGTTTAGATTTCAATTTACCTGAGCTCTGGAATGTGGCAAACGCAGCACTAATAGCATTGGAAAGAGTCTTCTGTAGGGCGGCTTGAACAAGTTCCTCGACTAAAGGTGAGGAAGTGACGCCATGCACACGTCCACCGCATGAACAACTCTTGGGGGATTGTGTGACGGACCAGCAGAAGTACCTGCCCCAGCATATCGAGCTGCATTGCGCTCCCTAGTGCGACATTCAAGTATAATATGTCCACTCCGTTTACAGTAAACACAAAAATTTCTTCGACGACAATGCTTCAGTAGATGTCCCTTTTCGTGGCAGTGATGACATTCCAATTCAGAAATCGGAACCCGGGATTGAAATTGGGGCCTTGAAACAGCATAGGCTTGAGTTCCTTGTTCATTAGCTGGCGGCATGTGACGAGGGACAACAGCAAAGACCGACTCCCCTTCGCCGGGTCTCACGTCCAGTTGAGCCTGTGTACGGAGGCATATCTCTTCCCTCACGAGCATCCCCAAAATTTCCTCAAAGAGCAGGGTTTCTTTGTTCAGAAGAGTGGACCGAATGTTCTCAAATTCGGAACGTAATCTCATAAGAAATTGCAGTAGCCGATTTTGCTGCCTTTCTTGCAACATCTCAACAGTGGCAGCCATCAGACGTAACACATCACTCAGCAAATCATGTTCAATCCAGAGTTCTTTTGCGGCATTAAAGTATTCAGTAACGGAACGTTCACCTGTTTGAGGCGAGCTAGAGCAGTCTGAACTTCGAATTGGCGAGCAGGATTGGTGGTGGAATAGGTTGAAGCCAAGTGTCGCCACATTCGGTGGGTTGTAGGGAAGATTCGGAGGCTGAGACATGTGGAGGAATCGACCGATCCAAGCAATAATGACCGCACACGAGCATCATTCTGCTTCCAGGTGGCAACTTCTTGAGCAGACGCCGGCGCCGTGGTTGTCATCGGATTATGACCATCAAGGACATCAAGTAAGCCCTTGCCTTCAACAAATACCCGGAATTGGAACTCCCATAAGGCGTAGTTCATCGATGTCAGTCGAACATAAGGTCTCTCAGATTCGGTCACGTTTGGCTCTGATACAATGTTAACAATCTAAAAAGTACCGGAAATGTAAAGCAGTAAACGAGACAAGCGGATTTACGTGGTATCCCCGGTTTCCCAGGACTAATCCACGGAGGAGCTAGAAAACTCCTCAGCTACTGATGTATACGAGATGATGATCTGGTTTGTGTTACAGACGTCGGCCGCCACACTCACCCTATATACTTTATCCCCGCAAACTTTAGGGATTCTCCAGCTACGACCTTACTTTGCATGGGCCCAAACTCCAAGACGAAAACAATGGGCTGTACCTAATCACTACGCATGGGTCGAGATCACCTGTCCAACTAGGCCAATACTATGGTTTCGCTGTTAAAAATGCGGCACCGGTAACGCGACTTCTAATTGGTCCATGTAGGATGTGATGTGGCAGTGGGTAAACTCGTTAAATTAAAATCAAATTCGATGGCCCATAGAACTAGGGGTGGAAATAGGTACGGTATCGGCATCCCAATACAAAATACCGAAATCCTGAATACCTGATTACACCCTAAAATCAATCCCAATCCCAATCCCTACATAATTTCGGTATCCCAATCCCAATCCGTAAATATTTCGGTATCCCAATCGTACCTCGGTATTCCAATCGGTATTATCAAATATAAAATTAATTACCTTTGTAATTAATAATTAAATATATAAATTAGATTTTATTGTTTGATTTAGGGCAAAGAGACTAAGCAAAGAGTTTTGAGTTGTCTAGAGCTAATATCTCAAGTTCTTGTAATTGGAAATCTTTAATTTGACGAATTTGAGGTTGAGAGACGACTAATACTAGTGTGAAATAGTGATGGAATGATCTATGTATAATTAAATGTTTCACTCTTGGTAGTGAATTTGAGGGACGCCTAGTAGTGAATGAGAGAGTCTAGTTCAAAGGATAAATTATGCACTAGCTTATATTTCGGTATTGATCGGTATTTTGGTATATCCCGATCCCAATCCCGTAATCCCTAATACCGAATAACAATTGAAATTCAATCCCAATCCCAATCCCACAAAATAATACGTGTATTCGATAATACCAAATATAGACAAATTCGGTACGGTATCCGGTATATTCCAAATACCGGTACCAAACTTCCAGCCCTACATAGAACGGGTCCAAATCGCCCCTGCCAAAATAACGGAGTATGAGCTTTCCGTCTTTCTTGAAATATGAATCTATTATTTCTTTAATGTTTTTGTTTTCATTAAATCATTTACACTGAATTTGTTTATTTAGAGGAATGAAAAAACGAATGAAAAATACTGAACACATTGTCGTCTTCCTCTGTCTCCCACTTTGAGAGAGTGTAAAAGCAATAAAAATGCTTGGCAAACTTCTCCGACGACGATATACTCCTATATATCCTCTTTGATTCACCCCGAAAAAAACATGCACTATCTCCGTTCTCTAAATCACATCTTCCCCTGATCTTGGCCCCAATGTCATATATCCGAATTCTGATTTTACGTTGGACTGTCTGTCTGTCTGTGTGGCTCTGTAGGTTTGATGGGGTCGTAATGCCCAGATAGAAATCGGAGTGAACCCGTCATATGTAGTATTAGGTATCCTCCTTAATCCTTCCTACTGCAGTTTGGGCAACCTAATTCCGAAACCTGATGCAGTTTCCTCCTTCCCCACTCCGCCCTTCGCCACCCATCCTCAACCTCAGTCAATTCAGATCACCCACTTCAGCGTCCTCTCTCACTAGTTCTCGGGCTCGACTTCTTCCCTCACTCACTCAGGTTTTGATTTGGATTTTGGCGTTGTTCTCTCTTGCTCCCTACCTTCTAAGTCCCTGCTTTTGTTGGTGGAGCAGCAGCCACACTAGTTGGGGGCTTGGGGCCTCCCCATATCCAGGCCCATCTTTGGTATTCAGGTGATTTCTCACCAGCTTTTGTTCTAATATCATAGATTTGGATTAATTGATCCGTGTGAATACTTGTTGTGTTTTCATGTAGAATGACTACAGAGATTGATTGGGGGTGGCTTCGTTGATTTTAGTTTTTACTAGTGTATATATCTATGATTGATTGGGTGGCTCCATTTTGCCGTCCCCGTTGGGCTAAAATTTGGAGAGGTAGATTGCGCAATCGCCAGAGGAGGAGGTTGAGCTGCGGTGGATGGTGGCGAAAGTAGGACAGACGAAATTAATTGGATCCAGAATATGTTACATTAATTTTAATTTAATTAATGAAAAACATAAACAAAAAGGCATTAACGGAGAATGGTTCTCTCCGTTAGTTTGGGAGGGCTTGTACCGGCACCGTGGTATTGGGCAATTGGCCATCCAACCAGTGGCGGACCCACGTGTGTTTAGGGGTGTCCCTAAATTTTGGGAAAACGATTATACAACCCCCGGTGGAAATTTACGAATGGACAAAAAAATTATAATTGATAATCGGGACACCCTTAAAATTTGAAAAAATGATTATCCTACTCTTATCTTTTAGTTTGCGTATGAGAATATAAGTGGTAGTTTGGGTAATTCAAACATAGGACACTATTATTATTAATAAACATAATTTCCACTAGGCTACAACCCATATGTTGTTCGATTTAAACACTGTGTAATAGTAAAATGTACTTCCCTATTTCTAATTATTTTCAAAACTTAACAATTAAATAAATTTCAAGCTACCCTTAATTTGTATTTATTTTATGGTTGTACGACAAGTGTTAAAAGAGTCTTTTTAACTTTGGATTACATTAAGAACAAGTTTAGAAATCGAATATGTGATTAATTCGCGAATAATTGTCTAGTATGATAGAGACAAAATTTTTGAGCACTGTTCCGCTTTTTTTACTACCTAGGGCTTCGATACATTTCGAAATCGAGAAATTTCTGCTGGAGCCGGTGCTATTCGGGAACAATTAGCCGATCTAGACACCAAGTGTATTCTACAATTATTTCTGAATATGAAAACACATCGTTGATTTTTTAAGTTGTATGAGTAAGATATTTTCTTATTTAAGAATTATTTATTTATTATTTATTTAATTAATTTATTTTTATTTAATTTATTTTTTAAAAGAGGACATCCCTATGTAAAATTTCTGGGTCGGCCACTGCATCCAACTAATGTACAAAACAAACAGGTACACCACCACCACGTCCACAAGAATAATCTATTCAGCCGGCGCCGGCGACAAAAAGAACCCATCGGATCACCCATCGGGCTAGCCACGACGCGGCCAAATTCCAGAACAACATGGACCTCGCTACCGCCGGAGAGAGTGGAGGGCGGCGGCTGCCTCTGTCGGAGGTGGTCTCCGATTGCGTCAGGCGGTGGTTCGAGGACACCCTCAGGGATGCCAACGCCGGCGACATTGAGAAGCAAGTGCTTGTCGGCCAGATGTATTGCGCTGGCTATGGTGTTCCTAAAGATGTCGTAAAGGTTGAATCTTTTTCTTCTTCTATTATTTTTTAGGGTTTCATTTTCTTCTTTCATGCCCAGAATTTGTCGAATTTTTGCGTCGTCTTTCTGGGTCTTAACTGGGCTTCTCGTTGTAATTGTTGTTGAAGGGAAGAGCTTGGATTGATAAAGGTCAGAAAGTGGGAGATAAGGACCCTGGTTATAATGCCATTGACTCCGATTCACAAGCAGCCGCACACTGACAATTCTCTGCTAAAACTATGAGCTGGAGAGGTGAGCTTGATACATCGATCCAATTTTGGGCATTTCTCATTCTCATATTGTGTACTTCTAATTGGAAATGTTGATTCATGAATAAGTTGATATCTTTATTAACATGAATGTGTGCTGATCCATGCCGAAACTGCGACATTACAAATGCTGGTTGATACTTTAACTAAATTAAACCCGGACTGCTACATTTGGGACAGTGCTGTTGTTTGGTAATCGTTTTGATAATTGGTCGTCACTAGTCAGTCTGGTTTGGGTGCAGAAAGAATACAATGTTATGAACTTTCATCTTCCTTCACGTTTGTTTTTCCTCCATTCCCATGGCTCTTGAGGGTTCTTCGAAGCCCATAACCCAACACGCTTTGCTCGAGCCTGCTTTTCCCACTAGTTGATGTACATAAATGGTTGAAGTTAGAGAACAATTAAGGCAAATCTTTTTTGATTGAGGTTTCGGAATAGAGGCGTTTTTGTACTTACTGATGCCAGTTCAGAACGTTTGTCATAGGCAGTATAGTGCCATGCGAGTCCTTTCTTGAGCATGATTTCCTAGCAGAAGGAAAGGAGTTTAGCTGACTTATGTATGCATTTTAGAGCATATTATAAGAAAAACAAGGTTTCAGTAAGGGTGGCTACCTGCATAAACAAACCATTGCAGTATATGTCTCCAACACATCGACCATACCGGTCTTGATCATAAATAAGGACTCTCAAACACTTGCCTTGAACATGCTTAACCAACTCCTCTTTCGCTTCTTTCCCATATGGCATTGAACTCTCCGGTGCATCTATTCCCCTGGATTTCTTCCCGTTGCCAGAATCCATGAGTCATTGATATAAAGGACAAGACTGATTTAACACTGTAACAAAGATTGCAGATTGCTATCCCTACCTTAGCCGGATGCGGTACTTTCTTGCAAGAACCTCCTCATTTTGAATGTTCAGTACCCTGCCATTATTAGCATGGAGGCATTGAGAAACAGAATCGAGCAACAACAAGCAAAACACAAAAGAATGAACTTGGAAATATACCCTACCTATATCCAGAATCAATAATCTTCTTGTGCAGTGCATCAGCCTTTTCATAGTTCCTCTCTGCTCGTGCTTTCGCTCTTTGACCAGCAGCCATTTTAACATCTCCTGGTACGCAGGTTGATTCCCTGGGATCGGTAGTGCTTACATAGACTGTTATGGTGTCTCCATCTGGTACTGCCTTCGCATCCACCTGTATTTTTCCCCCCACAAAGGATCTCATGTTAATGAAGTCAATTCACTACATCAAGTAGAAATTAGTCTTTTCACTTGTGTGTTCTTACTGGTAGTGTGTGCAGCTCAAACTTCACCCCTTCTGGCAAGGATGCAGGGACACCATGTCCATGGGTTACTTCGACGGGATTATGAGGAAGTAGTAGGCCATAGAAAGCCAGCAAACCCTTCAATAAATAGCCAAAGGAAAACAATCAATCTGCATTCTTTTCCTCTAGATCTTCTTTACTTCTCATTTAGGTAAACTCCATAATTGTAAGTTTCAATCTTTATTTCTTTTACTCACCAACGATTAGCAAAGCAGAGAAACAAAGCTAATAGCCAACGCAAGAGTAATTTCATCTTTATTGTATGCGTGTATTACCTCAACATCTGCTTTTTTGTGTCCCTTCAGGGTCTGGATCACGAGCCTTGCAGCTTCTTCAGGCGTCCTGGGAGGTGGTTTTGCTGCTCTCCATGCCTCTATTAGCTTTTTGTACCTGCCGGACAACAAAAATAACAAGACCCAAACTTTCAAAGAACACATTAAACCAGACATTGCAGCACTTGGAAATTCCAAATCCGCCCACTTTCTGCATTCAGAAACAACACCAAGATCACAGCTTTTGTCTTTACCAATTAGCTTGAGCTTTCGTGGACGAGACAACGTGCTTAGTCAATCCTTCTGGAACCTGAGTGGAGAAAAAGCCATGGAGCAGAGGGGTTGATCAAGAATAAAGGAAATTCAACAAGTAGCAGCAGAAGTTACTCTTTATCTTTGTTTCTTCTTCTTTTCCAGTTGAATTCATACTGAAATGAGAGTCCGAAGAAGAAAGAATTGTACCTGGGAGGTGCTCTCGAAGTGCAACAAGTCGTGAGCAAGAGCTGAAATGCCTGCCGTGGGTGGAGCGACGCCATGGGGAGGTTCATAGTCACCTGCTGTTGCGGGCTTGCAGCAATTGCGGTAGAGAAATCTCAGGGCATTTCCCATCCTGCAAATCCCTTTCAATATGGAACTACACAATTGGCGCCGGGGGGAATGGAAACGGGGAGGGAAGAAAGAAAGAAATCAGGAGAAGGGAAGGAAAAATGAATTAGCTTCTTTGAGATGAGCTTTGTTTTGTATGAAGTTTTGATTTTTGACTTTTGAGAAGGGGCTTGGCCGGGAAGAGAAGCAAAGGAGCCAGACAGCCAGTTGGGCGACATAGTGACACGTGTCTTCCGTCTATTGTGCGGTGAATTCCATGAAGGGAATGGGATCTGCTGCTGTTCTTTTACAGGTCGGATGATTGATGAATGATGAGCTGGGGAGTTGTGAATTCTGGTTACACGCGCCTGTATATGCGCGTGGTGGATTCTTTAATAATATTAATAATATAGGGCTTATTGTTTATTCTGGGCCAGCATTCATCGGCCCATCCGAAAGGCCCAGAAGTTGACCACGCAACTGGATAATGAATAAGAAAATGATAAACAGGTCTCGTCTCGTGCAGTTGAGCTGAATTCATGGCTTTGAAATCAATTCCCATCCCACCGTCCCATATGATATTTATATCTCAAATTTGTCTGTTTGTGTCCTTTCCTTCATCAGTTTCAGGAGCCGAAAGGGCAATGATTCATGGCTGAATTATTGGTACTGCTGACCTCACCCACAAAGGCACATACATATCCAACCTAGGATGACAAAAATATCCGTAACCATGGATATCCGCCAGAATCTGACCTTATCGGGTAGGGTAAAACCCGAACTCGAAAGATTTTTAGTGGGTACGGGCAAAATCCGAACCTGAATATTGTGGGTAATGGGTGGGCATGGTTTTCTCACTATCGGGTAGGGTAAAACCCGAACTCGAAAGATTTTTAGTGGGTACGGGCAAAATCCGAACCTGAATATTGTGGGTAATGGGTGGGCATGGTTTTCTCACTATCCAACCCGAACCTGCCTGATTATACACATTCGTATATATTTTTTCTAGAAATAATCAATATTTTTCTCTAAAATATTTTATATCTAGCATATAAATATAATATTTTTCATGAAATTGTGTTGGTTTAATTAATTTTCTTCATTCTAGTGAACCATTGTCGTACTTTTCGTCTTACGTAACGTGAGAATACGTGTGAATATTAACATATTGGTTAAGAGTTATAAAGAAAAACTATTACCCATGGATAACCGTGGATACCCGAAACCCGAACGGGTATGGGCATGGTTTGGATTTTCTACCCGTTTCTTATGTGAGTATGGGTATGAGTAAAACCCGAACTATTTTGGGTAGGGTAACGGATATTCACTATCCGTCCCCGACCCGACCCGACCCATTGCCATCCCTAAATTCCAACATGACTCATTTCTCCACATCGTGGCCAAACAAATATGTACTTTGGCCCTAAGGAAAATTTGTTAGAATTTGAATCTGAAATCTCGAGAGATTGACAGTCCGTCTTTCTATTCCTAGTATGTGCAGTGAAGTTGCATTTATTCCCAACCGAAGCAAGAAGACATATCAAGGACTTATTGATTTATCGTTCGTAAGACCTCTAACTTACACAGTTCGTGTTGTGCTTCATCTCAGACATTTACAAGAAGACAGAGTGATTCGATGTTGCTCTCCGCAAATCACGGATTACCATCTAATAAAACCAAACTACCGGAATCGAATTAGCTCAATGTTTTCACCCAAATCAAATAAAACTGAATTGATGATTAATCTGCAAAGGATACTGAGATATAAACTTGGGACAAAATCATGATCCAGAACCTGCTTTGGATTTTGAGAAACGGATATCGAATCAATCAATCGCTCATTCATTCTGGTAATGGAATACAGTACAAATGAACTGAATAATTGATGTACGGAGAAAGGCAGTGCCAAGGAGAAATGTTAAGAAAATGCTTGTAGCTATCGAATATCAGCAGCAGCAGCAGCAGGAGACCACAATCCACAAGCAAATTGTGGTCTATTTTGGCAATGCCGTGGGAATAAGGCAGCTTTACTGGTAAAAGCAACGGCCCCTGTTTTCATGGAATAAAGTGGCCGGAGCTGACTGCCTTGCCACTCAGGGCACTCACCAGTCACCACCTTTCCCCAGTATTTATATTCTTCTTCCCTCTTCCTTCTTCTACCTCTTACATTACATTCACCATCTCTTCTCCCTTACCTCTTCTTTTCCCACTTCCCGCTGATCTCAAGTCAGGATCCTTCTGATAAAGAAATTCGACGAATGTCTAATGTAAGCAAGTTTTGCGCCTTCGATGATCATTTCCCACCTGCTCTTGATTTCCCCCAACTGTCTGATGTTCTTTTCTTTCCTTAAATGGGTTTGGTGATGAACTGAAATGAAGTTGGTGGAACTGAAAGTGGGTCTGCACTGTGACGAATGCATCAAGAAGATCCTCAAGGCCATCAAGAAGATACAAGATATTGAGACATACAATGTGGATACACAGCTGAACAAGGTCACCGTGACCGGAAACGTCACCACTGTACAAGTCATCAGAGTTATCCACAAGATTGGCAAGACCGCCACCAACTGGGACGATGAAGAACGCCAGCTCCAGCAGCAGTTCTAACTCTCTAAGAACCCTGCAATCTGAACACCACCCAATTCTCAGTAGCCCTGATAATGATTGCCGTTCTATCACCCCACTTCGATTTTGTACTGAATGAATAAAGTAGCAGATGAATGAAGAGTGAGATTTACAGAAAAGGTAGTAACAAAGATCTGTTCTTTCATAGATTTTCTGCCTTTTTTGTACTTTTTTTCTACATTAGCTTTTGGGGGGAACTGAAACTGAAGCTAAACTGAAACTTGGGTAATAAACCTAAACCCAGAAAGGAAATCATGAACAAGATGACGATCCTGACCATCATCAAAGCCAAACACTCTTCTGCACTATGTACAATAACACTACATAAAAAGAAAATCCCCCCAAACTCTCCATTCACTTCCTGACTCATCACCAACAATCTACCTCGGCTGCTGAATCGTCCTCGGACTCATCTTCACATTCACAATCTTCGCCGCCTTCTCTGCATACCTCGGCGACCGATTCAGATCATTCTTCCTCCATTTCGTCGATCCCACCGACACCATGTCCCATTTCATCCCCAATTCCTCCTCCTTCTCCTCATCTGCACCAAAACAAAAAAAAGAACCCAACCCAACCCAGAGTGAGTCGAATTGAAGCACAACTCGTGACTCAGCGAGCTTAACCTAGGTTGTAGTAGTAGTAATAGTACCTTTGCCGCCGGAGAAGCGGAGGAAATCGGCGCCGTCGTCGAGGAAATCGAGGTCGTCGGGGAGGAAGAAGTCGGATTGGGGATCCTGGTAGCGCTCCTGGAGCCAGTAGTCGCGGAACCAGGTGGAGGATTGGATGAGCGACCACCACTGATCGGAGAAGTCCTCCACCGCCTGGTAAGCCATGGGGACGAACATCGGGGCGTTCGGATTCAAGCTCGACTGCTGATGAGCAAACATTACATCCATCGCTGCTGCAAGAAAATGGGGGAAAAGCGTTTGACGAGGTCTGGAGATTGAGGATAAGAATGACGATTGGTTCAACTTTGGTACGGTTTATATAGGGGGAGATAGGTCGTAAGAGCCCCTTGATTTTGACGGTATTTACTATGAGCCCCAGATATTTGCCACTGTCATATTGGAACATTTAATTAAGTAATTAGGTAATAATTGATACTAATAAATGACATCAATTAGGATAATTAACGGATAAGGGTACTGAAAACTCTTCCTAATTGAATGCTGGTGTTACGCGGTAATAATTAAACAATGTGTTTGTTTGGCACCATATTTTGTGAGATTAATTAAAACTCGTCTTTAATTCGCTTATAAAAAATGAGCAACTTTATTGATTAATTCGCTTAAATTTGAAATATTACTTTACGATGTTGGACCATGTAAAAGTGTCATAGTGAACATCCATTTCAAAGTAGTTTTGAAACAATAGACAAATTCCCGATTGTTAATTACGTTTGTTAAAAGCTCAATATGTTGTTGGACCAAATCGCATAAGTAACTCGATAATCATACCAATTCCATCACAAGTAAAGTTCAAATAAGATTTTACCTATGTATTTGGTCATTTACTTCTCAAGACATAGTGTGTAACTTTATTTAAGGAATACAAAAGTTAAGATATTGAATTAGGGAACGAAAATTGAATTTGATAATCGGGGTCGAAATTTGTTATTTTGTTAAGCAGTTGGCGTTCTGGCACATTGTTTCCTGTATAGTGTATAGTATATATACTTGTCTCTGTCTTTTGTACTTTAGTCCATTATCCATAATGATTAGACTTAGATTCTTCATTTGAAACTTTTAATTAATTAAGTTTAAGGGATTCTACTTGTTAACCTTTCGTTGACTGGTATGCTAGACCACCGAGGGGGACCGGAGGCGTGAAGAAGGGGTGCCTGTATTTTGAAGACACGTTTCTTTTGTCTTCTTATCTCGAAACACGTCATCGTTCTAATCCCCTTACAGCTGACCTGGACTGGACCAGCTCAGTTACCGTGTGCTGTCGCTGCTTAATCAAATGGGCCTACTCTAGGAGAAGAGAAACAAGGCTTTTTATGGTGTAGATCAATTGGGCCAAGTCCGACCGTGAGGCTCAACCTTCTGGATTCTAAGATTAAGCCCAGGGACGAGAATTATGAACCAATTACTATTTAGCTCTACTGAATTAAATTTTTTTTGCCTGGATCAACACTTACGCATCATCTCTACATTTTGCACAATAAACTATAGAGTTACCTATATAAAAAAAAAACTATAGAGTTAACTAATGAACTAATTTGACCAAAATTTTCTAAAACTCATATTTTGTTGCTGTGGTTGTATTGATGTTGTGCAAACACATGCACAACCACAACAAGAAAAAAAAACAGATAATTCAAACCTGTTTAGTTGGTAAATATGAGAAATTATAAAAAATCACAACAAAAACAGAAACGCGTTTAAAAACTAAAAACCAAAAATCAGCATACTTGACATCAATCGAGCAACCTAATTTCTAGTTAACAATTGTTATTAGTAACTAAATATGATCACAATCCCAGAAAAATTGGGCCTCGGTTGGCAAGAGCAAGTGGCATTCTTTGCTGACAATTCTCTGGGGCTTGAAAATTCCGCCAAGAGCAGAAGTGAAGGGAATGGACCAAATTCTGCATACCCCGTTCCAGTGCCAGAAATTAAAGGAAAGAACCAAACTAAATCCCGTGCTTCATTCGATGATCAAAAGCGAATTCCCGGGAAAAAAAAATTGTTCGTAGGAAGTGTGAAGTCCCAAACTTCACGGTTTCACGAAACCTACAGAGAGGCGAGCGGCGAGATGGTGCGCCGGCGGAACGAGCGGACGACGGGGGTGATGCGGCGAAGAGCTTGATGGATGAGCGTTGGCGGTGGGTGCGGCGGCAAGACAGGGATGCCGGAGGGATTGTCGTTCCTCTCGGAGAGGAAGAGGATGAGCAGCGGCGGGCGGCTGAAAAAATAATGGAACGGTTGAATGGCGAGTAGGGTTGGGGCCTTATGGAAGGGTTGAGAAAAAATAAACAGAATTTCCGTATGTGAGGGGACTCGAACTGGGGGTTAGTTTAATGAAATCAAAGACACAACCAGTTAGGGGTGTTCAAACGGTTTGGTTACCATGGTAACCGTTTTAACCGGTACTATATGGATAATTGGTTTGGTTTGGTTAAAATTTTTAGCTTGTTTGGTTTAGGTGGTTTGGTTTGGTTTCAGACACTCCTAACCAGTCAAACCAAATTAACCAGTTAAGTAATTAGTCATATATCTAACATATATTATATACACATACTTAATACTTTGCATAACCACTCAATAGTTAAGGTTCATCCCTTTTAGACTCATAAAATATAAAGCTCAATATTGCTCATATAGTGTATATTTGTATATGTAAAGTGTAGACCAAACATATGGACACCTAATTTAGATAAATTTCATACATTATGATGGATGAAAACTTGAAAGGAAGGTCATTTCCAGCCTATGATAATTGCTAAGAGACTAAGTCAATTTACACAAACACAACAATTCATTAACCCATACCATTGTCATAAATTTTTATAAGGTGAATACTTCTATACTAATCGTAAGATAATTGTCTTAATTGCATGTATTTTTGTTAAGGGTCAAGTACTATAACTACGTGTTGATTGTTATGTTTTATTCATTATATAAATTGCAAATTGTTGCATTAAGCGGAAAATTTTCATCGTCAATGATAATGTGATTTTATATTGGTTAATCTGGTTAACCAATTAACCAAACCGATTAAACTTTAGTTTGGTTAATTTGGTGGTTGTATTAGTTTGGACGGTTTGGTTATGATATTTAGCCTTATTTGGTTTGGTTATAACTATGATAACCATTTGAACACCCCCTACAACCAGTAGAAATCCCGTGTTAAACATGTGTACGAATCAGATCCAAAGCAATAATTAATTGTTTCTCTGATTTGGGCCTGGTTGTGTAACTCTGTTTCGCAACAAAAATTAAAAATCTAACTAAATATGTTTTTTCTCCTCGGTTTCTGCGATTTTATAAAACACAACAGAAAACAAAAACAAGCAACAATACTAAACAGACCCTAACTATACAGATTGATAGTCAAATTGGATGGTATAGGCCAGCTTTCCACACACAACAATCTGTACTTCAGTGTTACCTCAATAATTCTTAACGTACAACACAGCAGAAATTGGAGATATTAGTGTCAGCAATGACTAATGATGAAGGTCTGTTCACGAGAACGTTTGAATTGTTTGCTCAGGTAAAAAGATACAGTTTTGCATCCTCGAGCAAAAAAAAGAAAAAAACATACTCAATACAAAGGAAGTACAAAATATGGTAAGTTCTGGAGAGACTAAAAATGCCTGCTTTTTTCATCGTTTATTGCTCAATATCTAAATCTACTTCACAAAGCAAACAAAGCAACAGAAAGACACTGCCATTCTCTGAGCCATAAGATTGCAAGGGCAAAGCACCGCCACAGCAAAAAGAAAAGCAATAGGAGCGTTGATCCTCGAGGCTGCCAATAATAGGACCAGGATGTTACTGAAGCATTGCAGGATGAGTTTTACTTCTGGATGCCGGGAAATGATGGTAGCACAGCGATAAGAGGGTCCTTGTATCCAACAGAATCTGCATCATGTGCAACAAGGGATGTTAGGAACAACAACGAAAGAGACACGTTACATCCTATCGAATACTAAGAAGCTAACACGATGAAATTTTGCTTAGGATCTACTGGCCATTAGTTTTCCTAAAGTCCCAGCCTGGACTCACTCGATGTCCCTAGGTTCCTAACTGAAGACTAAGGCATCATTTACGAACGGGCTTGATATAAATCAGTTTGAAAGAACTTTTCCATCTGCCTCAGACAAACACAAGCTACCCCGTCTAGAAAATGTACCCCAGGAAGATGGAGAAGGGAAGAGTGAGAAAGAGAGGATAAGTAAGTAAGATCGTGCTGATAAGGAAAATTAACTGTCTTTGATGTCACAACTACAATTTCTATGTATGATACATGAATGCAAAGGAATTGATCATTAGCACGGATCAAGCTGATAACTCTCAGAAATGTAGGGAAGGAGAAATTTTACCTCCGTCATTAAAAAGAATCTTTAGAACTTCGCCAGCTACATCAGTCTGCTCAGTCATCAAGAAGCACCGCGATCAGGCAAAATTGGATTCAATTCAGAGATATAAAAAACAATTAACGGAGAGCAGGAGACTCACCTTCACCGGAAGTTCAGTGCCAAACTGATCTAAATATCCAATCACCTGTCCTTCTTTAATCATATCACCCTGCATTGGAATAAAGTACATTCAGTTTACAACAATCGTGCAACTCCAGGGATAAAACATTCTCAAGGTACAGATACCTCTTTGCAGATCTGAGGTTGCTTCTTTCCTTTCACTGTACGGTTCTTCCTGAATGTACCAACCTGAAAAATTAAAGGATGGATGTATGCTCAATTGAAGTGTTTTTTGGTAGAAAAAAGGAAATGAAAGACAGAAAACTCTCAGCCGCCAACTCAAGCACAATCACTTACTGTTGGAGAAGCAACTAGAACGAAGCCGCTAGCACCAGAAGCCTCCAGAGCTGCCAACCTTGGAGACTTTCCAAAGGAGACATTTGTAAATGGATTGGACTTTTTTGGTGGTGGAGTTGGTGCTGGTGGAGCAGCAGGAGCTGCTACATCCATTGGTTTAGATGGAATAGGTGGTGGCACTGTTGGTGAAATGTTGGAGAGTGGGGCATGTGTAACTCCTATGTTACGCTTCAGATGCATTTCGAAGTCACCCACCTATCAGAATCAGACAGATGAGTACACAGGACCCAAAAGATTTACAGATGTAGTTCTTCGATCATGTGAGGATGATGGGTTTACCTTCAGTTTCAGCTCAGCAACTTCTGTTTCATCACAGACCTCTAGCATCAGAGCCTGATAACGAAAGAACAAGAAGCAAGAGCAATCATTAAGGTTCATGACAAGCAGATGTCACGAATG